GGTCGTTACAGTGGATATGATAATTTTCGAGAATCTGGTACACCTGATATGTCAAGTCTAAGAGTGCAGGTGATTTGGTTCCTCCCTCACAACGGAGATAGGATATTACGGATTTGTTGTCGCTCTGAATCAGTATAGTGCTGTGTTTCAGGAGCTGAGAATGACCTTTTAAGACTTTTAATAGCGCCAACATTTCTTTCTGATTGCAATGGAGGTTCTTTTCGGTTTGTGACCAAAGTCCGGTCAACGACAGATTGTCCAAGCGAGCTCCCCACGCAATGTCCGAAGCGTCTGTTGCTAGGAAATGAGATGGTGCTGCCATGTGAATCGGTGACGATTTTTTGTGATTCAAAAGCCACCATTTCAAGTTGTCCAAGGCGATGTGAGGTATCATATGCAATTTTTTGGGGTTCGAATTTAGAATTTGATTGAGAAGGTTTAAGAGGCCTCGATAGTTTAGTCTGCCTTTGGGAACAGTAAAGCTGGCAAAATTGAGAAAGCCTACCAGACTTTGCAACTCTTTCAGCGTCGTATGCCGTTTTCGTATCATCTGACCCACTTTTTGTGCAAGTATTAAGATTTTGTCTTTCGGCAGACATTTCAGGTTCGACCAGGGACCGGAGTGAGAATCGATTTTTCGTAATTGATGAGCCACCCCAATTTCGTAAGAGTCTCGATAACAATGCTTACATGATTTTGGAGAAGCTCTTCGCTTTGATTTGCAACTAGAAAGTCGTCGAGATATACCACTATCCTTATATCCTTTTCTCTGAGTATTTGTGCTATCCAGTTCGTTAGAGAAGCAAAAGTTTTGGGAGCAGAGCTTAAACCGAAAGGTAGACATGTCATTTCCAGAAGTTGCTTCCGATATATTAGCCGCAAGAACTTTCTGTGGCTGCGAGCTACAGGAACATGAAAATAAGCTTGTGACATGTCGATTTTGCAAAGCCAATCCTTTGGTTGCAAGAAATCTGTTATGCGGTAAGCATTTATTAATTTGAAATGGCCGATTTTTACGTACGCGTTCAATGCCTTCAAGTTGAAGATCGGTCGGTAAGAGCCGTCGCGTTTTGGCACAAGGAACAATGATGACAGAAAGCTTGGTGCCATTCCTGCCGCCTGCAGAATTCCCTGTTCCTTCATTTCGTTTATAATCGATGTCATTTTTGCGGACTTTGTTACATGTAAATTGGATACAGTGGCTCTGGGAGGAACCAGTGGTGGCTTCCGGTAAAAGGGTATGCGATACCCTGTTATTATTTTTTAGTATATAATCCGGAGCTTGTAAAGTTTTCCAATGGTCTTGAGCAAGACGGCCTGCTGTAAATGGCCTCAAGTCAGAACTTACGTCGTTTGTTGCTTTTATCTTGTTGATGAGGAGAGGTTGTGCGCTTTTTCCCCTGTTTGGTATGTCCTTGCTGTTGCGCATTGGTCCGTGAATTATTTCCATGAAAATTATGGTTATTATTCGGTGCGGCCGAATCATATTGTAAAGCATAACGACTATTATTGTTACCATTGATATAACTACCTTGCGAAGGTAGGTTATTGTTAGTGCAGTATGAATGTGCACAAGACTACAGATAACCCTGCGAGGGTCTGGTGCGATTAGTAAGCCCCTGCGAGGAGCTTTTGAGCTTTTTTGTGTCCACCTGCGAGGTAGAACCCCTCTGTGCAGGCCAAAAACATTTTCTAACCCCGCCAGCTTTTTCAATAGCTGACGTGAATTTTTCTGGATCAAATAGATTTATAGCTGTTGGAGGAATCTTCTTTATATTCGCTTTGAAAAGTGGATCCTTAGCCTGCTATGTTAAACAATCCCTTCGCATTTGAAGTATCTCCGCACGATGTCCACAGATCATCTGTAACATATCTTCGGAGCTTTTCTGAAAATCACCGCTTGAAAATAAATCCGTAATTTTTTGATAGAAACCTTCGTAACTACCGCAGTTCCCATCTCTAACCCACAGTAAAAGCTCTCTTAGAGTGTTTTGTAAATACTCTTTTTGTTTAAGCACACACATCGTCAGAGCTGCAAAAGTTTTATCCGCATGTATTAGGTGACGTAAAGAGTCATATGCTTTGACTTCTTAATTCATTTCTATGGCTGTAAACCCTGGAGAATGGTTATATATCTTTTGTGTCTCAGCGTACCTAATTTCATTCCAGTCACTTTCACCAAAATGTTGCGCTTCGCATAAAAATTTAAGGAAAACGTCCGGGGTATTTGGAATTGTAGGCTCTTTAACCTTTGTTCCAAAAGATAATGTGATATTTTTATCACATTGAGTTGTAACAGACTCAGTATTACGTAATTGTTCATAAAAATTTTCACTTACCCCCGATAGTATTGACGAAACATCGTTATCCGGGAAAGAACTAGCGAAACATCCATTGTTTCTGCGTTCAAATTGTTTCTGTAGGTTACGCAACTCCTTGGCTAATTTGCGTATCCTACGGCTGGAGCGATGACTTCTTTTGCCCCCCTTTTTCTTTCTATGACCTCGTTTTGAAGGACTTGAGTTGGTTGAAGAGCTATCGCTCGAAGAGCTGCTACTAGAGCTTGAACTTCTACTTGATCGGTTCAGCCTTCTATTTGTTGAAGGCCCAGGTATCGCACTATCACTCGTTTCCGTGATTTTATTTAAATTATCCATGGTTTTTGAAAATAATACTCACTTAATTAGTCTAATATAATATTATTTTATAATATTAAATCGAAGTATGTAACTCGTCTTGTGAGCGTCCGAACTTGGTGGGAAACAAGACGCCAATGAAATTTAAGCAACATAGTGCTGCAGTCGTAAACTCTAATTCAGCCAAGCGGATGTGACGTCATAACCAAGAAGGAACTAGAATACCGGAAGTTACGAGATGTTTCAGGTGGGAAATATAGTGCCTATATCTCAATTAAATAAGCTTCGAATAACGGTCAAGTCAAATTAATAACTCATTCCAACCTCGTTAAGACAGAAAGGAGAATACCGATAAAACAGGAAATGTACAAAAAACAGTAACAATCATAAATCGAATTTCATTATTTCAAAAAATGGAAAAACATTTAGGTACTTTAAAGCCAGTCTCCTCGTTGTCTATTTATTTACATATATACACAAATTTTACGCTATTATCAGTTTAACCACGACGGTGACATAATATACTCTTCCGAGCCCATCTTCCTTTTGGTACCATTAGAAAATAACAGTAAATTTCTGATAGACTCCATATATACTCCAAGCATATTCAGGTAAATAATATCGACAAATTTGATATATATTGAATATTGAATATTATGATTAGGGTCTTACAACTTTATTAATGCGTACCGTACAGAAGATAATTTTATATTACATACCTTTCTATAATTAGAATTTAATAAAGTTTAGATTTTCTGCCGTAATTAACTAATACGAGTAGTGTTTGAACGTAAACTTTTTTAAATAACATTTGAAATCCCTAATTTAATTAATTAGTAAAGTAAATTTACTAATTACAATAGTAATTAGTTATTAAATGTATGTTACATTTTACATGCGTCTTTACAGCGTCCATGGTCCCAAACAATCTAAGGTATGAAAAGGAGCGATAGCATCCTAATCTCATAGCACACAGGGATAATGTGCTTTTCTTTAACGTGCTTATTAGTCTCTGTTGGCTTTTCGGAGGCCTTTACAAATCTATCGGGCTTGAGGGCGCCTAGCCTAAGCCTCGTTTAAGAGTAACAAAGCTGGAAGGCTTCATGAGAGCCTCAACTCCGGCCGCTACTCTGTTAGTAATACGAGATATACATACGGATTGGGAGGTCGTCAAGCTCTTATATCGCTTTGGTTGACGCTCCATGGAGTAACAACGCGCAAGGGCCCCTAGAAGGGACTTCGGCTTTCGTTGTTACTCAATAACAGTTTAGCATTCCGATTAAGGGTAACCCGAGAGAGCCGAAACTCGTCTCGATCGGCCGGGCTATTGTCGGACTAGATGAATTTATAGATAGATATATTTATACAGCTAAAATTAAACCCAAATCGGAAAGCGTTAGCGTTGGTAGAAGAAGGGGCGGAAGAAACTCCTGCAACACTTCTATTATTAATAAAGTATCTAGTAATAAAATCTAAGGTCGTCTCGTCGTCTGGGAAATCGAAACAAAAGGAAATTTATATTATAAAAAAGTAAAAGTAAAAAAACAAGCCTAAAGTATGAATGCCTAAAAGATGTTTTAGCTTAGTACTATAAACGCAAAAACGTACTTGGGTAATAACACATTAAAAACTGTAAAGTTACTCTAAAATTACAGATGTATGTTGGGTCGAACCACAATAACTCTTAAATAATAAAAAGCATTACTAAACTATAAGCCCACTGATGAGATATCAAACCATAGAAGCCCAGAAGAACTTGTGCCTTGGGAGCTAAGTGCATATTTATTTTATTTTTAAAATTAAATGAGAATACGTAACCCAAAAACCCTTATAACTCAACAAAGACAATGTAGTACATAAATTATAACGGCGTAAATGTTTCCGACGAACCGCCACGTTTCCCCGAATTTTAAATTTAGCAACTTGAGTTTTGCCTCAAATATTCCTTAAGACGGCTGCGTGCCCACTAAGACCGGATCCATTGAAATTCTTGCGAGAAGGACGGGAACCTGTTAAAACTGACTTTTGAATGCAAGATACGCGAGTGCTACACATTGTATGCATTTGGTTTGCCATTTTTTTATGTGGGAAGGTGGCAAGGGAGCTGGCAGTTCATCTAATGATGACTAATCGCCACCTATGAACATTTGCAACGCCTTACCTTTTAATAAAGAGACTCCGGTTACCTCACTCACCAGACGAATCTCAGAAGTATAACACTTCCGCTTAACGCCGGTCTTCTGTGAGGTCGAACGTTGTACTCCTCCGGACGGACCTGCCCATTCTTGCTACAGCGATGACTGTTGCGTGGCCCTAGCACAGTTGAAACAACGTATGCATTTATCACGAACCCTTTAATTTCAGAGGATCTGAAAGAGCGGCTCTCAGTGAACAAAGAAGGAGAAGTTCATCTCTTCGCTCCAGCTGGCATCGGTGTGCACACGTTCCGAGTTCTGGCCACGACTCAACTCACCATGGTGAATGACAGTGCTGTGGTAAGAATTAAAGAAACTTGTTGCTCAAAGATTAGTAAAATTTAACGCTCTCGTAACTGCTCCAGATTTGGAGGATCAATTTGACCTTCACTGATTTATTTTACAACTTAGCTTGAGCACTTCATGTTGAGAAGAAGTTTACCATTTTTTTTTTGTTTCTTTTGGTATAAAAAATATTAGATATGGTATGTAATATGACTTATATAAAGTTAGTGCTACTAAAGCATAGGTTTTAGTAGCATTAACTTTTTATCAGCATTTGTAATTTTTATAATAATAATATGTATAATATTAATACGCAGAAAGAAGTTCCCCTCGTTACCACCTGCATTGCTCGTCAATTTCTCACCCCCGGTTGTTTATTTTCTTTTAGGTCATACTGAAATTTTCTGGATTTTGATGAATTGAGGCAGATGTTGTATTTGTTACCTGCTTTTAGAAGTACATGGCTTCCAATTATTAACACATTTTTGCATTTGTTGGGACTATTGTGTGAAGCAACTGTGGTAAGCCTTGGCTGTTGCGTGGCCCTACCTTGCATAAATGGGCAGACCGGTATGAAGTGGAAATATAATACTTTTGCATTTCGTCTGGTGAGTTCGTCTGTTTGTCAACGGATCTGCAACCCTTGGGTGTAGCAGATGTCCAAGGGCGGTGGTATTCACTTAACAACAGGTGAATCACCTGCTCGCAACTTTCACAAAACAAAGCAGTGGATCCAGTCTTAAGTAGGGACCTCTTCTTTAATGGCTGTATTGTCCACGCAATCACAGCCTCTTTCCAACCTCTAAATTTATCCATAATCTTCGGAAATAAAAATGAGGTCCCAAGGTGCGATGCCTGGGATGTATGGTTGATGCGTCATCACTTCCACAGTCTCATTCGTTATCGTCGCGGAATTTTCGAACGTTATCGTGGTGATGTATGTCATTTCTGCGTGGACCCTTTCTCTGACACTTTGAATAAGTAATCGCTTACCTCATTCTCTTATGCTTTTCAATCAATTCTCTAATGGAATTTATTTATTTGCCGAAAAAGCAAACAGCCATTTTCTTCCCGGTACTTTGATTTTTCTTCTAACTTTTGATCAAAACAAAACATGGTTTTATATTTTTTTCTTTTTTTCAATGCCTAGTTTTGTACGAATTTGCTGTCAAATACCTAATTTACGTCAGTTTTAATCAGGTTTAGGAAATACATATCTCAATTCTTCGAACAAAAAATAGTATTTATGTATATCTCTTAATGCGAATTGAAGTATCTGCTAACTCTCTTGTTGACTTAAGCCACAACGGAAATCCTCAAGAATCATGGGACGAGTTAAATTCATTGTAAAAGCGACACAGTTTTTTAAAAACACCACAGAAAAAATAGACCTCAAAGAAAAGTAAAAGTCTCGCAATTTCAACAGAATTATTTTCCCAGAAAGTTCTATTTTCGAATTCCGTAATTGATTTTTTTTTATTTATTTCAAATATTAAGTTCAAGAAACTTTCAGTATTCCCACATATAAGCATATGTGGGAATGTAAATATGCATCATACATCTCAATAATAATTAAGATTATTATTGAGATATGATATTATGATGTGATAGTAAGCACATACATTTTTATGAAATTCATTTAAAACATACATACAAAGTTATCTAGCTTATGAACTGCGTGACTTAAGTATATTATCGCAGAATCTCGTCATACCTCGTGATAATGACGTTTCTTTTATTAACTTTCACGTATCACGAAGCCACCATTATATCTCACAGTTACCTCCTCGAACATTTGATAATGTAACTACTATATTAGTCCGATAGCACCTTTTTATTTAATATCCTTTTTCATATAATGAAACACCAAATAAATTAACCATATAATAGATATAAATTATCTATGGTTATTTTAGTTATTGAGATCTGTATTTAATGAGTGATATGTTTTTGAAAATAATAACCGTACTTAGACCACAGTAGAGTAAACTTTGAAAGTAATAAATCATCATTCAATCAATAATTCATTAGTAATGTCATGATTTACTTATCTCTATTATTATAGATATTAGTTATAATACTTTACAGCTGTTTATTAACATTATTTTACACATATATTAGATTTCTTTTCTTAATAAAACAAAGCCTGCTCTTCTGGTTTCTTAAAAGATTGAACCGTGCTAAAATTATAAATGCAACAAACTAAACTTAAACAATTCGTTAATTAACATCCAGCCAGAGATCCATTTTTGTTTTAGCAACGGATTTTTTTTATTAAGCGTCAGATATCTATCAAAAACACGTATATAAGACATTATTTTAAAATGTTATCTCATCACGTAGATTCAAATATATCGTAGGAAACTACAAATATTCAACAGAATTCATATTTCCTTATTTCCTGTACAAAAAGGGAAGAATAGATTATTTCACATTTTGTTATGAATTGTATTGAATTAATAAAATAAATGAGGAATAATTTATTAACAAGCACAAACAATATCCAGAAATAATCGCGACAAATCAAAAGAAAACATATTCAGAAGGTTAAAAGACAAGGCTTGCGGTTCCGAGAACTCCTGGTAATTCCATTTTTGATTGATTATTTGCATTCCAATGTCCTTTATAAAACGAAAACGTGAAAAGTTTAACACAACTTTATTTATGGCAATTAATTTAACCGCGATAAGAAAATCAAAAAAATGTTGACATTAAAAGAGATTTTGGAACCCTGTTTTAATGGCAACAATTACTAGCAACAAATGGAAAAGTCACTCAAATGAGAGACAATGAGTTAGGTACAAGTTTTTTTCCGGCATTTCAATTTGTAGGCTAAAATAATAAATAAGTAATAAACATTTTAGGACACATTTTTACACAACGTTCTCTAGTCCCAAACTAAGCAACGCTTGTACTTTAGGTAGTAGATAACTTATAAACGTACTTTTCTTTCGTAAATAAATACATATTATACATATAAACACACATGAGCTAAAAATATTATATTCGTCACACAATATATTTCCAGTAGTGGAGATCGAACCCACACCCTCTGGCGCAAAAGGAAGTATCACCCACTAAGCCATTCGGGTCGTCAAAAGTCAAATGTATGAATTGTTTATTGCCATATCGTGTATCAAATTAGTCACGAATAAATTTATAAGCTAACAGCAGAGCATGTAACGTAACAACTACACAAAAATTTCATCCCATAATTATATGATTACAGAATTCTATACAACATGAACGATGGTACACTCAAATGTATTTTTTATTTAATATTGCATTTAATCTCTTATACTATAATTTATTAAAAAAATATTAAAATAATTTCTAGAAAATTTACAACATAATTATAAAAATAAAACCCAAGTTTAATAAAGCCGCCTACTGTAAACAGAGTAAACATTATTTAACTCATGATACAATTATTGAATATTTCTTGTATACTTAGTAATTTAATTAGTAAAAAACAAATTATGTCGAGGATATTAAACTTTTATAAGTTCAAACATCTAAATGATAGTAATTGTGCTAATATTTTCTTACACACTTTTGGTTGCGGCATGAATTAATATCTGCGTTGATTCGACATTTGAAACAAGACAAAAAAGCCTGAAAAAGACAGGAGACACAATAATGTCTGTTTACCTGTTTTAATCATTAACATATAACAATACATTATTCTCGAATAATATACATACTAGCTGATCCGGCAAACGTTGTTTTGTGGAATTTCGTAAAATACGTTTTTAGCTGACCTCTAATCGGCGAAAGTAATATTCCTACCAAATTTCAAGTCTCTACACCTTATGGTTCCAGAGATATGAGGAGTCAATTATCGATTAAAAATCTATATATATATATATATATATATATATATATATATATATATATATATATATATATATATATATATAGATAGATAATGCCTTCCAATTAAACTTCAAATACACAAGCTCTTTCATTGACAAATCTGCCTAGTGGCAAGACCTTCAGTGGTTGAGTGCCGCAATAAGCCTATAAATAAAATATTATGCCTACCCAATTGTCTAAAATTAGCGTTTATCTTGTTTGTATAACAAAATCTAATAATTAAATAAAAAAATGTATCCTCCTTTACTACTACAAGAAACAGGTCACTATCTCCTAGACCATATATATCCAATCTATATATTACATTTGTTAAAAGTTGATCATTTTAGGGTTCCATAACCAAAGGGTAAAACGGGACATTATTTACTAAGACTTCGCTGTCTATCTATCTGTCACCTGGCTGTTTCTCATGAACCGTGATAGTTAGACAGTTGAAATTTTCACAGATGATGTATTTTTGTTGCCGCTGTAATAACAAATACTAAAAACAGAATAAAAAATATTTCAGTGGGGCTCCTATACAGCAGACATGATTTTTTTTTGCCGTTTTTATCAATAATGATGCGGAACCCTTCGTGCGCGAGTCCTTCTCGCACTTGGGCGGTTTTTTTTATTAAATAGTTATTGTACACAGAGAGAAAATAATAATTGTACACGCGAAAATTATTTCCCAGTACCGTGCTTTGAACCCAGTCAACCATACATCAAACAACGCCTACGCCCAAACGTAGATATAAGAGCAATTTCGTTTAAGTATGTAACATTTAATCAACTGTCAATTTTATGGCACGTTCCTCGGAAATATATGTAGGGCATCTTAATGATTTATATTGAGAAACAAACGTAAGTACACGTAGGTACGTAATTATGATAAAAAATGAAGTACTTATAATAAAAAACCCGCTAAGTGCGAGTCGGACGCGCCGCGAAGGGTTCCGTACCATTATCTATAAAAACGGCAAAAAAAACTCATGTCTGTTGTATAGGAGCCCCATTTACATATTTTTTTATTGTGTTTTTGGTCTTTGTTGTTGATGATGAGTATTCCGACCGATTTCGGCCATGGCGACCTCTTCAACTCCTAACTGATTTGGCGCTGATGCGCCCGAAAATGGCTTATATAACCAATCTTGGCGGCAAACTCTCTTGCAGAGTGAGTGCTCGTGAGTACGCCGCCTACATAGTTATAACTAATGGCGGCGGTTGGACGGGCCTTTAGGTCCTCGCGCTTAGCGTCGAGTTCAGCTATACACTGATCTTCAAACTCGCGGATACGCCTCTTCACAATTCCGCGCCACTCCGGACGCTGCGCTGCCTAAACCTCCCAATTGGAGGGCTCTATGTTGCATCTCTTCATATGTCATTTCTGAACATCTTTGTATCTGAGGAGTTGACGGCCATGTTTCCGCTTCCCCACTCCTCTAGGTCAGAGTAAAATATGCGTTTCGCCACTCGTTCCTCCGCCATACGTGACACATGACCGCACCACCGAAGCTGCCGACGCATTAAATATGACTCAATGCCACCGACATTGGCTCGTCGCAAAACTTCAGTATTACGCACCCGGTTGGTTAAGTTGGAACCGATCCAGAGTAAGAATGTGGTGGCGATACACACACCATGTCTCGGAGGAATACAACAGACTTGCCTATTTGTTGTTATAGCGGCAACATAAATGCGTCATCTGCGAAAATTACGTCTTACTATCACGGTTCATGAGATACAGCCTGGTAACAGTTAGACAGACAGCGGAGTTTTAGTTTTAGGGTCCCGTTTTACCCTTTGGGTACGGAACCCTAAAAGTGAAGCACAAGGGAAAATATTTATCAAATAAAACCATTATGAGAATCATCACTGTCGCACGGATGAGCAAGTTCGTCCGGGGGAGTGCCATGGCACTCACAGAAGATCAGCGCGAAGCGAATACCTTATACTTTCGCACTTCGTTTGGTGAGTGAGATAACCGACTTTTTAAAACTTCTCAACGCATTTGCACGCCCTCAAGTGTTGTAGATGTCCATGGGCGGCGGTCTTCATTTAACATCAGGTGAACAGCCCGTTTGTTTGAAAATTCAAATAAAAAGAAATTCTATCGCTAGTTTAGTGCCTTTTATTTTTATTTGTACATCGTAAAAATAAGTATAAATAACAATATAAACATGGTATAAATTTCAAAAAGTATCCGGGAGCTCGCTTTTAATTCAATATACTCGAGCATGAGTTCAAATCCCGGTGCCGGCACCGATGAAAGTACCAGTTGGAATTTTAAGAGCAGACTGATTACGTGCTCAACGGCGAAGAAAAACATCGTAAAGAATACTGCATATTTTCGAAATAGTAATAAATAAAAAATATTCCAATTATATATATATGCTACTACTGCTACTACTTTACTTTTTACTTAAATAATAACGAGATCAGATATAGTACAGATATTAAAATAAGAAAAAGAAACAGAACAGACAGAGTAAATAAAGTACGTGAGCTTGATTATTCATGTTATAAAAACAAATTGATGAGAGGAGCTAAGAACTTCACTCTTGAGTATTGTCCTCTGTAGACAACATTTATATTAAAACCCTAAATTTAAATTAATCGTGTCGTGTTAGCCTTTTTTATATATATGTACATATTGAATTTAAAGTGACTGTAAGTAAAAAGTAGCCGCTCTAAGAACTAGAAAATAAAGGTAATATTAATCAAAAACGGGCTGACATAAATATCCTTATAAGAACCAACAACAAACAGCTATCATAAATTGTTTCATGTTCTTATCTATAAATAGTCTTTTACGAATGCTTAAGTATTTCGTTAGAGCCCAAAGACGTAAGAACTTAGTTATTCGTTCCTTGTAAACTAAACCAATCTTGGACTGAGAATTGTACTATGAGAAATTCAATATGTACATTTAATTGGCAGGTCACAGCAATGAGAAAAAAAATATATATATAATTCTTATGTACGTGTGTATGTCACTGAACTTCTCCTGAACGGCTGGACCGATTTTAATGAAATTTTGTGTCTTCAGGTCGATTCGAGAATGGTTTAGATTCACAATTCGATCCACTACAATTCTATTTTAATGATTTTACAATTCTATTTAAGTGTTTTCGGATTTCAGTCGTGTTTACAGGACAAAGTCTGTCAGGTCCGCTAGTTTTATTATACAATGATAACAATTGATCTGTAACAGACTTCTGATTTATGAACTAATTTATAATTATGTAGTTGATCTAACTTTGTGGTGGGTTTTTACAATTAAAATAATGTTACAAATATTTTTTTTCATATTAAACATTTATTTACAATATTTATCAAAAGTAACTATACGCGTATAAACTATAACGCGTAACTATACCTTATGCTAACCTACAACATAAAATCACTTTTTGATGATAGGAATTTAGAAACACCTATTGCATTACAGGTGCTGCTTATTGTCGAGGGAGCTGATAAGTGTACTAATGAAGAAGGGGTTCCTCCGCTAATTCTGTTAGATAGAGACGAAGAATCTCCTCACGAAAATCTGGTCGTGTTGAATAAGACAACACACGAGAACTGCCAGTTCGTCATGATAAACCATTGGCCTGTCGACCAAGCGTGGCTGTACGTAGACGAAAACGGCCTTCATACCAGGTCTATCGACAGGGAGCACGAGACGATCGCATTTATGGCACTTTCCCAGATACAAGTCGAGCTGATACTGCATTGCCAGAACGACGAACCAACTACTAGGACTAAGCGCTCTCTCAACACCGACGTGAGGTTAAATCCTTTAGGGCCATACGATTACGGCCCCCTCAAATGGGCTCTGACGGACTCTATTTCGTACAATGTCAGACGAAGCTTCGTAAACCTGATCGTTAACGACATCAATGACAACAACCCGATATTTGAGTTGAAGGAAACAGAGCCCATCGCTGTCGGTTATCCGATACCAGATTTAGTAGAGACCGTTTCCCCTCGAGCTTTAGCGGAATTAAAGGTGAGTGGATTAATATAGATTGCTATTTCAATAAGCGTTCTGAAACTGTAAAACTTAACTGGAAATACTCAAGGTGTATTTATGAAATAAACTTTAGAAATTACAAGTAATTTATAGGGCATAGAGTAACTAAGTAGATGACTCTATGTCGCAGTTGCTAAGCTTTCGGCTTCGGCGTCGAGGGCCTTGAGTTCGATTCCCACACAGGACAAATATTTGTGTGACCTACAAATAATTGTCCCGGATCTGGGTGATTGTTTCCCAAGGAGAGTTGACGTCAGGCAGGCGGCCGGTAGTAAAAAACATAGCCAAAGCCGCTTACAACATGGTTCACGTGTTGTACCGACCCTACCTGAGTGGGATAAGGGTTAGAGGATGATGAGAGTAGTTAAGTATTTTGTATTTCTTGGGGGAAAATCCTTTTCTTATTTTTTTGTATGGTGTTGAAGTAAAATGTAAAAATTTTGTTGTACTGTTTATATCTGTTTTGTTATGATTAATTTTTGTTTTTAGTACTAATCTCTGCACTCAAGATGAAACTTTAAATTGTTAATTTTTTTAATTAATTTTTGCGAATCCCATAGCGCTGAAAGTTTTTGTTCACTTATCTACAAAAATTAACTTTATATATTTGGCTGGTTTTAGCACCATTAAATATATGACATTTTGAAAAAGAAAAATAAAAACTAGAAAACAATTTTCCACCATTTTTCAATTGTTATTCTAAATGAATCTAATGAAGAAATTCGATACATTTAAAAGTTTTACTAAAAAAAGAGAAAATGCGATACCAACTGCGACGAAAGGACGTTTATAGACGTAATCCGATGGGTTTCTACTAATCCTAAGGGATCATTGTGAACTTACTTTTTTGTGTTAGGTTTTTTTTATGAGAAGGTGGCAATGAGGTGGCGGTTCACCTGATATCCGCCGCCCATGAATATTGCAACACCCGTAGGGTTACAGATGCGTTGCCACCTTCTATCAAGGTTAAGATCAAGAGAAGATTGACAAAACAAGTTGTTTCTCAATTCAGTCAATCAATCAGTCAATTTTAATAATAATAATAATCGTGATGATGGACCGGGCACAGTCGCGGGTATTTTTGGTCGACATTATCACTCCATATGACGAAAACCTCGTGAAAGCCGAAACAGATAAGAAGACAAAGTATCTGGACGTGGCTCACGAGGTGACCGACTTGTGGGGTGCTATGTCGGCCGAAATTATCCCGATAGTCGTTTCATGACAGCCTCTCCAAACATCAGAGGCGATTGGGACTCCGGGACGGATCGCTCCAAGCTCTAATGCATACAAATATATATATATTTGTATGTATATATATACATACAAATATATATATATATATATATATGTATACTATATATGTCACTACCTAAAACATGGCAATAAGTTATTAAACAAAATGAAAGTAATGTATTGATGTTTAATAAAACAACATTGTCTAATGCAAAATGGTTAAGTCTTTGATTAATTTAAAACTTTTGTTTCGACAAAAAATTCCTTGAGATCTTTATGAACACAGCGAATATGTCGCGTTACATTATATGACATCACACGTTTGAAAACACGCATTATTTAACTTTTTAGGTTTCGTATCATATCTAACAGGGGCATGACGTTATGTTCTTTAGTTCCTTGTAATACAAAATGTTTTTGTTTGAAGTTCCGTTTGGCGACGAAGGTTTGAAAAAACTTAAAAAATAAAACAAAAAATAAGTTGTTTTATTTCTTTTATAAACATGAATTACTGGCGGCCCGTAATGCAAAATGGTTAATATAGTCTTTGATTAATTTGAAAAAAAGATTTTTGTTTCGACAGAAAAATCTTTTCCTTGAGATCTTTATGAACACAGCGAATATGTCGTGTTACATTATATGACATCACACGTTTGAAAACACGCATTATTTAACTTTTTAGGTTTCGTATCATATCTAACAGGGGCATAACGTTATGTTCTTTAGTTCCTTGTAATAAAAAATGTTTTTGTTTGAAGTTCCGTTTAGCGACGAAGGTTTGAAAGAAACTTAAAAATAAAACCCCAAAAAATAAGTTGACATTTTATTTCTTTTATAAACATGAATTACTGGCGGCCCGTACGTCTGAATATAGTCCCAAATTAAATCTCTGAATACACAAAAGATTTCATAGAAAAGAGCTGACAGAAATAATCTTTTCATAAGAAAATATTACATAGTTCACAAAGAAAACATGTAGACACGGGAAGTTTTTTTTAAATATTTGTACAGGTTTTTAAATCACAAACATTTAATAACATTGGATAGTGACCTTGACCAATCATAGATCAAGAGTCAATATTTTAGCTAAACCTGGGCAACTTTGTACTCGATCTTGTCATGATAATAAATGAAATTTTAACAGGCAACAGACGCGGACGTGGGTGAGAATGCAGCGTTGGTCTACTGGAGCCCTGAGCCTGCACTGGCGGTCTCATCATCGACTGGATATGTACACGTGCGCAGCAATGCGGATCTTGAGAACGGAGATCGCTTTACAATTTACGCGACTGATCGCAACGGACTAGGACATACTGGATCAATTGACATAGTGGTAAATTTCTCGTATAAGCGAGTTTTTCATCATTTATTACAAATAATTGTGTTCTTTTTAGGGTTCCGTACCCAAAGGGTAAAGCGGGACCCTATTACTAAGACTCCGCTGTCTGTCTGATATCAGGGTGTATATCTCATGAACCGTGATAGGTTAGACAGTTGAAATTTTCACAGATGTATTATATAGTATATTAGATAGTATTATAATTGTATGTTACTGTAATAAAATGGTTAGGTTTTTGTATTTTTTTTATTTCACAGATGTGGAGTTCTTTTTGAGTCAAGGCCAATTGCCTCCATAATTCTTTATTTTTACATTTTATCCTGCATTTAGTATCAAATCATCGACCCACTATGTGTTTAGTCTTCTAAGTTTCTTTTTGCCACGTATTGGTTCCTTCCGTCGTGTGGTTTATATTGTTTATCTATGTTCTGAATATTATAACACGTATCATGCCCATTTCCACTTTAACGATTGAGATAACGATTCATTTTAAAATTCTTCTACTCTCTAACTTTTCTTTTTCACTTTATCTGTTCTGTCCTTGTTTCGCAGTTAGTGTTGTAGAAGACAGGCATTCATTACAGTTCTTACTATCATCATATTGTATTTCCCTTTTAGAATTTCATTTAGAGACCGATATTTTTCCATATAATGTATTTTCGTCTTCTACTCCATCTTCATTGTTACTTTTTATGTGAATATTTGTCTCCCAACAAATTGCTTGAGCTCTTCAACTTTTTCTGCAAATATGTGTGTATCATGAGCAAACCTAATATGGCTTATCTTATGGTTGCTCTATCTACTAGGAATTGTCCTGTACTGTTGAGTTTAGAGAGTCATTTCAGTATTTAATAGATGGAAATAATTTCTATACAATTGATAGAAGATATGATTTGTGATAGATACAAGATGTGACTTATGATAGATAAACACATAAAAAGAGATAAATATGGAAAAACTGTCTATGGGCGGCGGTATTCACTTAACATCAGGTGAACCGTCTGTTCGCTTGACAACTTTTCACATTAAAAAAAATCCAAAGAATTCAAAAATACGAAAACAAGGACTCGTGCCACTAAAATTACCGCGAATTGGTTATGTATCGTACGAATTGATTATATTGTATTCTGCGAGTTTTGTATAGTTTTGAGGTTACGAAATTTATGAGATGTGCTTATTACCATCAATTTGGAATAAAAAGGCGAGATCCGATTCCATCTACATGATCAAAGGCTTGGAAAAATATAAAAAAGGCGTGGACAGTGAAATATGAATAAGATTCCCATTATCAGGATCTTATTTGTTAATATAAACTTATTGGCTTTTATTAGAAAATTATTTAAGCGATATATTACAACTTTCATTATGACAATAGATTTTAAAGGCACTTTTGTTCTTCGTTACCAATGCTTATAACTTTCTCTGCATTTGTAACTATTAAAATTAATTATATGAAAAAATACAGTAAATAAACTCAAAAGATTTTTATCGAACCCAAAATTGAGCAGATTTGTACGTATGAATATAGTGTATGTGCCTTTCGATAACTGCAATTTGTTCAAAAATTAGATCACAATAATTACGAAAACAATTCTCTAGTATTAATTTATTTAACGGACTCACAATTTCTTGTAAAGCATTTTCAGCACATACAAAAAATATCTATCACGCAGCTGAAAAAATAACTGGATAGATTTGTTCTCCAGCAAGTAATAAAAAAAATCTACGAGTATGTTAAAATAAAAAACAAACATTTGCCCAAACAGCCAACATCCGATTGCAAACCTCCGTAATCATAAATAACTCATTATTTTTGTAGGATAATACTACTCGAGTAATAAAATACCCTTTAGGTCCCATTTTCTCATGTTTTAAGTCTCACAGATTTGCCGCACGGTATGAATCATCATTATGATTCAGTGTTTTAAAATAAAAAAAATATATTTAAACAAATTACTCCGTTATTAACTGGACTGTAAACATTTCAACAAAAATGTCTATCTCACGACTGTGTCGGATTGATTGTGTACTCAAGAACATAATGAACATACATTATTTTCTTATTTCGTTTATGTCAATGAAGTTATTTATATTTACATAGTTCGCTTCAAATTTTTTTATCATCTATTTTCATAAAAAATCATCCGCTTTTAACAAACAACAAATTGAGTTTGATTCAGTTGTTATTGTAGTGCATCGATAAGCAATAAAGGTGAAAAAATTGTACTTAATGTATTAAGTAACAATTTACTTCACCCTAAATAATAGTAGTAAGGGTATACATAGACATGTATATAATTATGTATCAGAGGTACTTTTTTCAAAAATAGTATGATAAACACTTTATTATTATTATTATGCCTACAAGGTCAATCTGTATAATTTCCGGATGCAACGTTTTGACACAGACCTTAATTTCTGGCGTGACATAATAAGTCACAACTTTGTTCTAAAGGAAAAATAAATAGTGGTCAAACCAGGCAAATAACAAATGCGACCATTTGTTTGTATGCTAACAGCTATATCCGTAAATAGAAATTACTATATTCGATAATTGATTCTAATTTTTTATGACGTTAATTTAAGTTAAGCTGTACGAAATATTAAATGTAAAACATTGGAATTTATAATGTATTATATTCCATATACATATTTTCAATCTATTAATTAATACAATGTATGCCGGAATTCGATGATTCATGGTTATAGTTTTATAATAAATTGATTATAATGTTATTCATTCATTTACATATGCATAGATGTCAAATTTTCTGTAATGTCTAAATATGTTTACAATCAAGGTAAGATTTTGTTTTAAGGAGGCTTCCCATTAAAAACTCGGCCTTAAAACACGAAAAATAAGAACCTTTTAAAACCAACAAAAGGCTAAGTATTGTTTGACGTTGTAGCACTTGACCTCATTGCCTTACATTTCGTATGTAATTTCCAACCAAGATACAAATGTATTTGCGCCCAAGCTGTTTGTAGTTTCTCATGTTTTTTCTTTTACTTATTGATTTTCTTTTTCAGATACGACTTTTAAATATTGATCGTATAGCCGTAATCACAATTCGAGGCGCATTTCTGGAAGACGAAAACACTGTTTTAGCGAATTTGAGTACTACTCTCGGATACGAAGTAAAAACTCTGCGGTCTAAAGTGATTCCGGTGAACTCTAAACCAAATGTAACTGCAAACGTATATAGAAAAGGAAGCCAAATTGATGATAGTGGTGGAGCGGTTTTACAGCTGTATATTTATGGATTAATTGACCGTGACCCTGTAGATGTTGGACGTCTCACTACGTAAGATGATTTAATTGTTGACTGCTATTTTGTTTTTTATTTGATTGTACCTTAACTGATTTATCGTTCTTAAAACTTCCAGTGACATAAATAATAATATTATTATGGCAAATTTAGTTACTGCGTTATCTCTACAAGATCATCTAGAGAGACGTGAGGCATGTACGATTCCAGAGCAAGATACCGGCTTGTTAGCTGCAACAATAGCACTCAGTATCGTGCTTTTTATCCTAATTGTGGTGTTAGTGGCTTGGCTATTCCTTAAATGGTAAGATAACCGTTTTTTTTTTTTCAACAAAAGTTTTATAATCTTAATGTGCGAAACACTACAATTGTCTTTCACCCACAGGAGGAAAAAAAGGAGTTATGACCAATTTAGCGATGAAAACAGCTTAACTTCTAGAGATCAAATACAGCAGCCGCCAAAGGGTGATGAACTTGATAAACCAAGATTAAATTTGGATCAGCTAAAAAGAAGTGAAAAACGACTTCAAGAAATGCTCGATGTCCCTGTAGACAAGCCCGATACCAGTGAACCGCAGAAGGAGATTCCAATTGAAACTATTGTTAATGTAGCACCAGAGCAGCGGATGCCTTTGGTAATACAATCTATTGACAAACTAAAAGACGCAGCTGATGCTTCGGACGATGAAGATGAATTTGGAGAAACTAAGACACCGCGAAGAAAATCAGTGGTTACATTCAATGAGAACGTTGAAAAAATTATACATCTAGAGGATAATCACAGTGATGGCGAGTACGAAGTTTATAAATTTTAAATAACTAAACATTGGTTTAAGATTAAATGTTTACTAAGTTTTCAATCAATTATTGAACTAAAAGAGGCTATGGTTGAGGTATGAGGCGAGGTTTAGTAACACATTCAGTAATTTTTAACCTGCTCAAAACATTATCCTCGTTTTTAAATCACATTGGTCTATTTTTCTTAAAATTGAAGCCCACTTGAATATCTTAAAAGGCATTGCCCTCTTTATGACTGACCCTCTGATATGATCACACATCCAAATAAAATTATATGCTCAAACTAGTGGGTCGTTTGCACGGGTGTTAGCCAGAACAGATGTTTTCTGTTTTGTTTATTTAGAAAACCTTTGTAAATTTTACTTAATATATTTATTTTTCATTATTTATACCACTTCCAACATACTTTTGAATTTTACTTGCTTTAGCAGTAACTATTTAACATATATACATACAATACAAATAAGACTACACTTCCAGCTTCTGTACTTCAATAAAACTCATTACCAATGGAACATAATTCTTACTATTCAATTAACAGTCGGGAAGAGTTCATTTGCATATCATCCCAAAAGAAATTCACCTGAGTAACAACTTTTAGCGCTAACTAACAAAACTTGATAAACTTAAGAAAAATAGAATATATTTACCATTTATCTATGGGATCTACTTTATATTAGAAACTTAAAATTGGTTACAAAAACAAGAAATAAGAAATCGCATAATTTTAAATGATAACAGATTGTTACGTTCTTATTTAACATATAATGTATATTACATAATAAACTACAATAATATGTCAAGGTGAGGTCACGGATCCAACTGAATTTATAGTATCGTTAAGCCTTAATGATATAGAAATATTTATAAAATGTTTAACTTCGTTTTTTAATATCTCGGTGGCCCGGTTGCTCAGCTATCGACCTCGGCTTCGGTTCGTTGATTCGATTCCCACTTGGAAAAGTATTTGTGTGACCCACAGACACTTGTTTTGGATCTGGGTGTAAGTTTTCATGCCGGGTTGACGTCAGGCAGGTGGCCAGTGAGAGCATCATAGCTTGCATGTTATGCTAACCCCGCCTAGGTGAGATAAGGGCAAGAGACGATATTAATTTTATGCAATGATATTTTTATGCATCTTACTCTTGATAACTCAATATGAGCGATTAAGAATAGTCTGAAATAAAGCATTCTTCTATACTATACGTGAACTGGTGATCAATCTTCTTTTTTCCATCGCTTAAGGGTCAGATATTTCAGCATTGGGGCATGTACTTTATTAAAAGAGTTGAAAGTTTATAATTCATACAAATTGATTTTCTTCAAATTATATTTAAATTATGCATACGGTTAACAGCTTTTACAATTACATAAAATAACCAATTGTCTTATGTCGACAACAAAGCATACTTTATCCCTCTGAACTGACTTTGCATTGCCGTACTTATAGTAGAATATTGTATGAACTAGTTTTTACCGTTAACTTTTTGGCATCTTAATGTTTTAGCCTGGATATTCAAGGCGTGGTGAGATCTCATATCTGATGTATTTTCGCTGGACGAGCAGCTCAAGATCGCATCGGTCACGTCGCCCTCACTGTCATATTGAGCTTGTCATTGTCTTTTGATCGATTAAGCACCTGTCCTTACAACACTGTAGTCCGAAATCATTAAAAAAATATATACTTTATCCATTTTCGAAGTTAGTAAATGAACAAGCATGATGACAAGTAGTTTCGCCGCTCTTCTGCAACAGGGGTATAGTTGCCCACATTTGAAACAGTACCTTTCTTCAAGCGAAATCCAAAAATGTAGAAATATTTCTGCTTTGGCTGATCTTCCTAACCTTTCATTCAACAGCGGAAGATATTGCCGCTTAGTGCTTGCCGCGGTGAAGGATGGCTTGAAAGCAAAGTAAAACAAGCATTATATTGTATTTTTATGCAAATCACTTAAAATAAGGTAACATTGCTAAATATGGGACTCTTCTGCTGAGATACCACAATTATGATAATATGCTCGTAGTCTACCTTAAGGCGCGAAAACAGTTCAGGTTTTTGATTTCATTTTTTTATCGCAATCGAAAATTCATTAAATTATAGGCCAAAAGTAAAGTAAAGTATCAGCCTATACATGTCCCACTGCTGGGTAAAGGACTCCTCTGTACAGAGGGTATCAGGGCATAGCCCACCACGCGGACCCACTGCGGATTGGCGGACTTCACATATCTTCGAAATATTTTTTTGTTATTATTTCGAAAATATGCAGGTTTCCTCACGATGTTTTCCTTCACCGCTGAGCACGTGATAATTCTGCACTTAAAATTAACAATTTCATTGGTGCCGGCACCGGGGATCGAACTCAGGTTGTTCGAGCATATTGAGTTAAAGGCGAGCGCCCGGACACTGAGCTATCACGGCTCCAATAATAAGTATTGGACATTTAATTAGTTCCACCGTTAAGATTTTACATTGGATAACTCATCCCTACTTCATTACTAATATTATAAAGGCGAAAGTTCGTATGTATGGATGGATGTTTGTTACTCGTTCACGCAAATACTACTAAATGGATTTTAATGAAATATAGCTTACAATACTATAGCTTATAGAATAACACATAGGCTATATTTTATATACATATTTTTATGTATATCTGTCTTCCTGTCTGACGCCTTCAGCCTATTCTACGCAGACGTAGTCGCGGGCAGCAGCTAGTAAAGAATAAATAACGAGTCAAACAATTAGACAAAGAGCTACCACGACATAATACTTTTGGTAAAAAAATAAATCGTTGCTAACAAAGTGAAAGCATAACTGAACATAATATTTTTATCAGCTATTATAAATAAACATAACTATAAATGAAACTAATTTTACGGATTTATCGCGTTTATTTTTAATTTTAATTCCCGACGTTTCGAACCCTTTACAGCGATAAATCCGTAAATTAAAAATAAACGCGATAAATCTGTAAAATTAGGTTCATTTATAATGTGTAATCGCGTAAATACAAGAAATTATTATGTAAACATAACTAATCAAAAAATAACAGTAATTTTAATAGAACGTTAAGATCGTGGTTAAAAATTAAGCATCTCACATTTAATGACCTGCAACATAAAAGTACGAATCCTATACCTATATATAAGCAAATATAAGGACCCCTTGGCTAAGTTTAATCACAACATGGACGCAACTATTACATATAACACATTAATTTACTAATGATTACTTCAACTTTTCCAAAACTACTCAAACAAGAAAATTATGTGCTCTTATTACTTTTGCTCGGAAACGTATAGCACGTAGAAGGTGCAAGAAAGACGACTTTAAAAGTTAACAATCGTAATTAATATTCAAATTGTACATTGTACCATTTCTATATCTGTATACGCAATTACGAAATTCTTTATAAAACACAATACAATGAGTGTCTGTTTTAGTCACTCCTACGCCTTATTTAAAAATATGACCAAAATGAGATTTGCCGAGATATAAAAGTTAAAACATAGCTTGGACTGCTTCTAAACGGGCACGATGACAGCTTAAAAGTTAAAAAACATCGTTATTTACTAAACTGGAAAGGAAATGGTTATGTCCGTTATAAAATTTTATTATTCAACATATTTTAAACTCCAATGCCCCAAAATAAGATTCAGTATCAACATTGGAATGAAGTTTACTTTTCTTTTATCAAATTACAGCACTTAAGTGTTCAAAAAATAAATGAATTATGTTTGTTTCCTTATGTTATTCAATAAAAGGTTTGAAAACATTATGTTAAAACATCGATCTTATTACCTAAAAGATTACAGGAAAACCTTAAAATACCATTAAGCTAACAAATTAAGAAAGGGATGTGTCTAGACATCTTAATTAAAAAACAAGTTAATTATTTATGCATATATTGCTGCTTACGTTGTCAAATTACTAGTTTTTAGTTGTGTCCATATTTGTAGATAATATAAACATGATGAAATAAATATGACATATTTGTCCTATAACTTAAATCGTCATTTCAAATCATGTTAAAAAAAATTCTTCTGCCTACCTGCCTCGTAATACATGTCACATGACATTCTTTCGGAATGTCGATGACGTTTCGCTGTAGTGTTATATTTAAGGTTCCGTTCCTCAATCGGTTAAACGGAACTCTTGTAGGATTTCTTTGTAACTCTTTTAGTGTGATTGTCTTTATTGACCTTGTTGAGGTTTAGTCAAATACTTACTCATTTAACGGTAGTAGGGCCACGCAGTATTTTGTAATGCGATGTTCACAGACAACAGAAAAGTGACCGTCGACCTACTCACACCTACCTACACCGCTTATGATTCAACGCTCATTCACATCTTCAAATGGATCCTTTCAAGTGACAGCCGAAAAAGCTACGAAGCAAATTTGCAGCAAGAAGCCGGAACGTGCTCGGAGTTTGAATCCGAAGTAATGCAAATCCTGAATGCATTCCACGGCGCGACCCGCAAATCCGTTTCAGAAAATGTATCGCCAAAAACGTGTACACTTTTATAGAACTGATAACAAATTCGGCGGCAAAGTAATCGCATTAATCGTATTCCATTAACTTGCGGATTTGATGAGGTTTCTGAGCGACGCGTTCAAGTAATTAAGTCAATGTATCCTTTCCCGCCGTCGAATGTCAGTGAACCTGTTCGTGAGAGACGATGGCTGAGGTCGCGCTCGTAGAACTGTGACAGTGGTGAAATTAGCTTTTATAATCTCACACGACTCCGCGGACCGTATTAAAGCTATTAAAATTTAAATATCAATGCGGTGCTTATTGATAAACGATGTTTTTATCACTAAATCCTATTTATAAATGTGGTCAAACACTTCGCAATGCGAAAATATTCCGTTGACCGGCTACACGGAATGTGCTTTCTATACAAAGCTGTCTGCAGAAATTTATTTACCTTTTTTTCTCCTTGTTTTTACAATTTTACATTGTTTACAATTAGCTTCTTGCAAAAGATTGAAAACCCTGCTGAAGATTACTA